GGGAGGCGGGGGGGGGTGTCAGCCCGGTCACATCACGGCGCATTTCTCAGCCGATTGCTTCAGGTCCTCTAGCGTGGCCGAAGCTTTGTCTTTCAAGGAATCAAGGTCCAGGTTCTGGATGTTGCTGAGCTGGCCGATAACCGAGTTCTTCTCTTCTTCCTCCTCGTTGTCCTGCTCGATCATCTTGGCCAGCTCTTTGGGCAGCTCCACGTCGCCTCCCACCAGCTGGATCTGGTTGTCATCCGTTTCGTTCTGAAATGGGCCAGGAGAAGGTCAGGGGTGGGATGCCGCAGGTGGGAAGGGGGCTTCTGGAGGCACTAAAGGCTCACAGCGGGGTCTGCACGGGCTTTGGGCTGTCTTCCCATTTTAAGGTCCATGTGGGCTGGTCCCTGGGGCTCACAGTCATCCTCGTGCTGCGGGTAGGATGGTGCCCACAAGCTCCATCACTGCGGACCCAGCGGGCACGCGGCTGAGCAGAGCCCGGGCACACACCAACGGACACAGCAAGAGCTGCGATGATAACCCCAGCGCGCCAGCGTCAGTATAAATTGGCTTTCAGCTCGCACTGGAGGGGTCGGGGAGGTTCTGGCACCCAATTAAGCTACACGTACGCTTAACGACTGCGCCCACCGGAGCTCGGGGTCAGCTCTGCGCCGGAGAGCCACAGGGGAGACTTTGCAAGAGGCAGCCCGGCTGCCAAGCGGGATCAGTAATGAGCAGAAGAAACTTGTCAAGAGACTAAAAGGGACATCTCAAGCATGAGAAAGCAGCAAAAGGACCGGGGGGGCCAGATCTGAACAAATCCCCGTTTCCCCTGGAGAAAAAAAACCCTCCATCGCTTCTTTTTCCGCCTTTTCTCGCTTTTGGCAGGGGAAAAATAAATTCTCCAGCTGTTTATTTCCTGGCAATAAAAGGGGTGCGAGAAGCAGTGGGGTGTGCATCCAGGCTGGCTGAACAATATCAAGCAATCTGAACAACATCGCTTGGCTTAGCTGACCTTTCTGGACTAAAATTAGCCCGGCTCCAATTTAGAGTATTCACCGCTGAGAGACTCTTGCTGGATAAAGGGTGGGTTTGGGAGGAGAAGAGCTTGTGGCAATTCCAAGAATGGCTGAATTATCCGTGATTAAATTGTTTCTAGTGAATCATTCCTTGGGTGGAAGTTCCGAAATGGGAGTTTAGCTGGGCAATGTTTGCCAAATAATCCGGGGAGAGGAGCTGGCTAATCCAGCCGGGAAGGCGTAACTCCGGCTCCACTCCCGGCTACGGGGCTGGGAGTCCGGGGTGAAGGTGGCTTTCCCTCGTCCAGCTGGGTTTAGGGGATAAAAGAGAGGAAGAGGGGGATCAAGCAAGGCAGAGGGTGCGTGTCGGGGGTCCCACTGTGTGGGGCTGGGGGCTTGCGGTGCTCAGGGGTGACGGGAAGGGGCCATGACTTGGGTGGAAGGATGCTTTTTCGGGGGGACTGCTTTGCACTTGGGCTTTGTAGCTCAAAAGCCC